GGCTGGTCTCCCTCCTGTTGGTCCTGCACAGGTAGTGGGGGGGGGTCTGGGCTGTGGGGGGGGAGGGGAGAGGGGAGAGGGGGCGGTCGAGAGGAGGTTCCTCTGGAGGAAAGGACGGTGTCCGGGCATTCAGGCTGCGTCTGTCACTCATTGCTCTCTAGGGTGGGCTCTGGGTGGGCTCAGAAGAGGGTCAAGCGGGGTGTGGCAGCTTTGGGGGATTGTCTCAATAAAGGGGAATCTGTGTAGTTCAGGGCAGAAAATGAGGGGCTCTTGGTGCTCTCTGAGCTTGGGGGTTTCCTTGCAGACGTTTCATGACCCAACTAGGGAACGACATCAGGGCTAGAAAAGAGGGGGAGGTGTTGGGAGGAGGAAGACTGGGGGGTCCTTGGTGCTCTCTGAGCTTGGTTAGGGTTTTATCCCCCCCAACGAAGGATCTTCCCTAGTTGGGTTCAGAGAGCACCCAGGAGTCTCTCCCCCCCCCCCCCCGGTTAATCTGCTTCTCTCCCTGCTTCTAAAACAGGGGGAATTGTGGGAGGGGGCTCCTCTCATTCTTAAAGCAACTGAGAAACCCAAAGGGCCTCTGGTTCTGTTCCTTCCTGGGGTTGCTGTGTCTCTGGGCCCCCCATGGAGAATCGCTGACTTCAGCTCGGGCCACCTGGACCTCTGGGGGGGGGGAGAGGAGTGGGGGAGAGGGGGGAGCCAGGGCAGGTACCCTCTCTGGAAGTTGTGGGTGCTCCGTCCCTGGAGGTTTTTTAAGAAGAGACCGGAAATGGCGCAGGGTCTCCTGCTTGAGCAGGGGGTTGGACTAGATGTCCTCCAAGGTCCCTTCCAGCCCTATTCCTGATGGGTTAAAGAGCCACGACCCACAGCAGCTGCTCATGCGCAGGTGGAATGGCTGCGTGGCCTGGCCTCCGTTGCTGGGGCCAGAGTGGCATAGGAGGGGGGCAGTACAAGCCCCCCACCCTCTTCAGGCAGAAATCCCAAGGCCACTCCTGGCCTCCCGTGCTGCCTCGGGGGGGGGCTCTTCCTCTGCCGTTGAGGGTCCCTACGGCAATCAGGCACCTGCTTCCCTGGGGCTCCCAGCCCTTCTGTTCCTAGTTCAGCAGTGGGCTGGACTAGATGGCCTCCGAGGTGCCTTCCAACTCTTGTTCTTCTGGTTTTTGCCTGGCTGGCTGGGAGCAGAAGTGACTCTGGGGGAGCAGAAGCCCTGTGGGGGCAAACCTTGCGAGGGGAGGGAGGGGCTACTGGCACAAATAAAAATAAAAAAACAAATCAGAGCAGGTCCCCCTTTTTTGTGGGGGGGTGTCAGTCTGATTCACGGGTACCTCCCCCCCCCTCTCTCTCTCGTAGTGGAACCAACAGCAGCATGATCGCCATCGACAACAAGATTGAACAAGCCATGGTGAGTCAAGAGGCAGGGCAGGAGGGAGGGTGGTGCTGGGCAGGCGGGCACGGCGCTTGGTGGGCCGAGGCGGGCTGCAGTGGGCAGCAGCTGCCAGCCCCTAACCCTTGGCACCAGCCAAATCCATTTCTTGGGTAACGTTTCTGGAGATTCTCGGCCATCCAGCTGGCTCACGGTGGTCCCAAAGGTGCTTTTTACACTCTCAACTGTTTTTCCTTGGAAAACATTTCGCTCCCCATCCAAGAAGAACCGAGGAAGCTTCCTGGATGAGGAGGGAAATGTTTTCAAAGGGGGAAAAAAAAACTCAAGACCGTCCAGTCGCCATTTGAAAAAGCCTCTCTGGGGTTTTCTGGATGGGATTCTCCTGGCTTTATAGGCCCCTGGCAAGGCCCAGATGAGGTCACCGCTCCGGGGGTGAAATGCCAACCGGTTTGGCCAAACTGGTAGTAAAAAAATGCTACTGGTTCACAGAACCTGCAGCAAAAAATACTAAAAGAAGTAAAAATATTTAAAAAAAACCTCCGTCACATAGCTGAGCTTTGAAACTTTCTTTTTTAAAAACTTTTAAAGCATTTTTTTTTACTATAGGTTCTCTGGAAACGCAGGGGTGTCTGTGTGTGGGGGGGTGTCCATTGCTGAGAAAGGAAGGAAGGAAGGAAGGAAGGAAGGAAGAAAGGAAGGAAGGAAGGAAGGAAGGAAGAAAGGCAAAAAGAAAGAAAAAGAAGAAAGAAAGGGAGGGAGGGAGGGAGGGAAAAAGGAGAGGAAGGAAGGAGTACAAACCAGGCATTAAGACGCAGCTNCCCCTGATTTCCCTTGCCCCCCCCCCCGCTCCTGCTGGCTGCTGCGGGTAACAGCTCTTTCATCCATCAGAATAGAGCTAGAAGGGACCCTGGAGGTCTTCTAGTCCAACCCCGGGCTCAAGCAGGAAGACCCTGCGCCATTTCAGACAAGGACCTGTCCCTTCTCTTCTTAAAAACCTCCAGGGATGGAGCACCCACAACCTCTGGTGGCGAGCGGTTCCACCGGCTAATTGTCCTCCCTGTTAGGAAGGCCCTCCTGAATGCCAGCTGGTTCTCAGTTCAGCCCTGGCTGCCCCTGAGCATTTCGGATCCCACCGACGGGCCGTTTAGCTCCTGGGGGGAGGCAGGGGGGGACAACAGGTGCTCTAGCAACCCCCCCCCACTCCTCTCCACCCACCCCGTCCATTCCTGGTGCTTAGCCTGCTTCCGTCCCCCTGCCCAGGAGGGGCCCCAACTCCCATTTATGTTTCTGCCCTTCCCTTTCCCCCCCTCTGGTGACTTCCAGGGGCCCCCACCCCATTCCCCCCATGCCAATCCACCCCCTCCCTTTTTAGCCCACCCCCCCAAGGTCGCTCAGAGGGCTTGGGGGGCTTCAAGGGCAGCCAAAGCAGATGTAGCCTTCGGATTTCTGTCTACCTCCAAGCCCCCCCACCCCCTGTGAGCCCCCTGCCCTGCTGGCTTGCTCCTGCCCAATCATCTCTGTACTCCCCCCCCCGCCCCAGAACCTTAATGGGGGCCACTATTAAGATACAGCACTTAACACCCAGCACAAATTCAGTCTGGCACCCACCACATTCCTCCCGGGGGTGACTCTACTATTCTTAGCCAGGTTAAGTGTTGGGGGGGGGGGCATGGGGTGAAGCAGAGAAGAAATGAGAAGGGGGGGGGGGTAAACGGGAACAGGGCCTGGTGGGACGTTGGCAGGAGTAGGCGGGGGCGAAAGAGCCCAGAATAAATCCTTCCAAGGCTTAAGAGGCTGGCATCTGAGCAAGGGGGGGGGGGGATCAGTTGACGGAAGGGCCTTCCCTGCCAGCTCTGCTCTCTGCCCCACAGCGGGGGGGGGAGGCTCCCTTCAGGAACAGCACATCTTGTCTTGACACTCAGCCCCTCCTTCCCCACCCTCCCCGCTCTGATGCCAACCCCCCCCAGCCCTCCCCGGGGGGGGGCTCATTGGCCTCGAATGCCCAGACGTGGGGTGGGGG